TTTTTTTCTTGTGAGTCCCGTGAGTCCTGTCTTCCTGTCAGTGTGTCTGCTACTTTTTAAACAAATGACCATTGAAACTTGTTAGTTTTTCAAGGCTTGCTTTTAGACAGCTTTCCATAGAAACAAAGCACACATACACATGCGCATACATGATGCCCGCTTTACAAACACATGCACACAGACACATGCACAGAGACTCGTGCACCACACACACGTGACACACGCGCGTGCACAAACACGCACACACACACACACAACCCTGTAGTTGGGTGGCGGTGTCTTGAGCATTCGGCACTCCAGACTTAGATTTTCTTCCCTCGGCTTCTGTAGCCCTCACCGGCCCAGACCCTGCCTGACTTCTGGCTTCTGGTCTGCTCTTTGGCCGTGGCTGTCTCAAGGCTTGGGCGTAGAAGCTTGTTGATGGGCGGTCTTTGGTACACCTGTGTTTGCATTCTTTCTTCCCTTTTACTTAAAGATTTTATTCTAAACCCTGACATTCCATATACATACTGAAAACATTTCCCCTTTCCACCCCTTTTCTGTTTCTCAAGGGCAGCTACTTTTAATGTTTATTTTCTTTATCCCCATATTTCTCTGACTTTTTCTCTTTTTTGGTTTTTCAATTTTGAGTACTATGATTTAAGTTGTAACAAATCTAGATGTCGTTTAGCTCCTTTAAACTATCACTGCGACCATTCTTCCTGCCTCCTTCTCAGTAAGTTTCGTGGGTTTCGTTTCTTAGTCTCTAAAATGCTAGTCATGTAGGCTGGGGGAGGTGTGTGCTTCAGTTTGTAGACTGATTATTCCAGGAAGACTGTCCCATACCTTGATAGCAGCCGCTGCCCAGGCCCTGCAAACGTCATCTCCCTGCTCTCTTGCTCCCAGAGTCTCCTACCACCATCAGGCCACCCAGGCACCACGCAGCTGCTGCGTGAGCCTCCCAGGCAGCCTCTCCTGAGGTCACAGCTGTCTGGCCTGTCGGCCCCCTTTCCCAGAGTCTGACCTCTGGCTCTGGCTGTGGTCTCCCCTGCCCACTGCTTTTCGTGATTTTGGCCTCCAGCATATTGTACAAAATAGCTAAAAATGTTGCTGTTCTAACTTTTGCACTAAAGAGATAATTTGGCCAAGTGAGAACTTGGTCTGTACAGCCCTTTCCTCTTGGAGCTGTAAAGACCTTTATGTCTATGAACATCTGGCAGCGGTAAAAACAAACAAACAAACAAAACGTTTTCTCTGCTGTTACTGTTCTGTTTGTAACTTGCCTTGTCTATCAGTGCGGTTTGGCGATACCTCTCCATCCCTGTGTTGTTGTGTTTTGTGACGATGTGCTTTGATGATTTGTTTGGGCTTTGGTTTGCTGTTGTAGGCGTCGGTCATCTCATTTCACCTGGAGACTCCTGCTTCGGATGACTGTGTGGTAATTTCCTCCTTGCTGCTTGGTGTCTTTGGATCCCGTTGGATCCCGTTTGCACATTGGCTTTCCAGAGTCCTTTTCCCCTGTCTCTGTTCTTTTCACTCTCCCTTCCTTTGGTTCTCTATTTGGGAAGACTTTCCAACCTTATCTTCTAACCCAGGGGAAGGCTGCATGTAGCAGCTTGTTCATCTTCTGATGGCATTCATTTCTTCTTCTGATGGTGTGCAGAGGAACTTCACTAAAGCATTATTCACTGTTTACCTGTGAATTTTTAATGTATTTCTACATATTGAAATGCTGCTTTAAATTGACAGGTAAAATTGTACATGGTGATTTTTAACTGCTTTTGTCTATTTCTATGTTCATAGAAATGTATGTAAGCTAGTTTAATACGGTTTGCCAACAAACACGCGACTTGCCATGCTGAGTTGGAGAGCGCTCAGCACCCAGTCTTTAAAGGGTGCAACCTCATCCTCACTCACTGAAGCTGCTACTCTGGTTAGCGGGTCTCTTACTCTTCTGAGATTGTATATCCTTTGAGCAGCATCCCTTCATTCCCCTCCTCTTCATCCATCACCCTCGGTTACCGTGGTGACGCTGTATCTCAATGAGATCATCATCTTTAGATGTGAGACCATGTGGGATTTGTCTTTGACTCTCTGGACTCTGTGGTCCGTCCATGCTGTGGCCGTGAGAAGATTTTATGTTTGATGGCTAAGTAGTAGTTTTGTCTTTGCTCCCATCTCCATTCCGACTGTGCTTATCACATTTTCTTTGGCCATAAAAACCTGTGGTTTTGTTAAACTTGGTATTCTACTTCTGCCTCCTAGGAACCTGGGAAAGTGAGGGATTGGTAGGTTGGGTGGGGGACCCAGGCAGGAGCAATTTTACACGGTGCATCCCTTGCCTCCTTCCTTGGCAGTCCCTATAGGTTCACAAGGATTGGGAAAGAGGTTCTAGGTATGCAGATCTCTGCTTCAGGCAGACCCTCACAGATCCTGCCTGTGCTCTAGTCATCGCAGTCCTTCACAGACCTTTCCTCTTCTCTTCATTCCCCACATTTGATACCAGGAGCCAGAGGTGGTTGAAGTAGAATCCATTCAAAAACTCTCATGCAGACCACAATAGCAAATTTCAAATGTCTGTACCTTTTCTTCTATGTATAGGCCTGATGAAGCTGACTTGTATGGCCCATGCCGTTGGGAGTATCTCGTGAAGAGCTATTGCATTTCTTTACAATCTCAGCCAACCTCTTGTGGTCTCGGACATGGCACTAGACTCACAGATGCCTGTCTGGTAGATAGAAGAACCTTTAAGGGAAATTCTCAGACATTCTGACCCAGTGGTTTATAGCCCAAGAAAATTTCCTCTTTCCATTGCCTTGTTTTATATTATTTCTCCTTTCATATAAAAAGCCAGTTTTTAAGGGACTCCAGCACATTTATATATGAGATGAAAAGCCACCATTTTTTTTCTGTAGTCTTTGGTCCAGCCAGTTCTCCAGTAGGGATGTCGATTAGACAGACTGGTTGTTACTCGTATTTGCTTTTGTTGCTAATACAGCTGGTAGTCATTCAGCTAAAAATGATAGAAAACAGAACCGATTTAGCTCTTTATTTATATTCAAGAACAACATGAATAAATAAAATCATGTGATCCTTTTAAATTCCAGCTGGGAATCTTAACCTCATTTCTTCCTACGGCCTGAGTGGGTTTTGTTTTTATGTTTAGCTCTTTTATGTTTACAGCGTACCTTTCTGTAATATTCTTTCCTCTGGGATTACTGTTCAGTTAAAATATTTAAAAAGGTAGATTGATAGAGTTAAAATTATAACTCTAAAAGTACAGAAACTAATAATAATTCCACTTAGCATTCGTGGACATAGGAACTCTATCCTATTTCATGACTTGTTAGGATTGTTCAGTCTTACTATTTCCCATTACTGAAAGTGGCGCCTTCAGACAACACACATCATAAACTACAAATATACTAACATTTTTATTCAGCAGCGAAGCCTAACACAAAACAATAAAAATATTGTTTTGTAGCAATGCCCATTTTTAACACAGAAGAGAATTACTCTCCTCCTCTTGTGCTGTATTCAATATATTTGGTGTTTAACTGAATTAATACAGTTTCTGAAACCAAGTGTCCCCTCCAGCCTTGGGTCAGCTTCAAAGATTGTCTGAGAGTCTCTTATGGCAGTTTAGGAAAGGGTGTTACTTGAGGGAGAAGCCTCATCTTGATAAGGGCATATTTATGTATCATAGTCAAATTTTATTTTGGAATCGAGTACCACTTGCCTATGGAGAGGTCCCAAGCTGTTGATATTCCTTTTGTTGTTGTTGTCTTTTGCCACTAGAGGTCAGTATTGTAGAGGTTAAAATTTCCTCAACCATACTGCAGACGGTATAGAACCTGTAATCAAACTTCTGGTCTTAGTTTTATAGTATGTTAAAGTATAATTTTCACTGACGCATCTTCACAGATATTTAAATTATTAAGGGTAATTTTGCCCCGGGTTAAGCTATTCTACATCCTTATCTAAGGACCATGATTTGATGGCATTAATCTGCTCGCTGTGACTGTTAGGTGAAGTAGTGGCTAGCCTGCAGCATCTCTTGACTGGTGAGCTGTTTTAAACCACCATCAGATTCTCTCCACATTTTTACTGGTTCTGGCTACACTGCAAATGAGCAAAGGCTACATATAAGGATTGTATGCCTTTTGGAAAACATCCTTGACGGTATTTCAATCTCTCTGGTTTAAGAAGACCAAGAATTGTGTCTTGGTGGAATTGCGATCTCACTTCAAGAACCCTTGGCCTTAGGGACTGGCTGAAAATAGACCTGTTTGGGATTGGACCTGTAGATTGACTTTTCTAGCTATAAATGGAAGAAGACATAATTACTGGTGCAGTTAGGGTAATGAGATTTTAAGGCTTACAACTCTGGGGCCGTTTGGGGAAGGTTCCCTGCGTTTCATCTTGTAGATTCCTTTGACCCTTTTATTTGCCTACTAAAGAAAACTACAATATTGTTTTCTGCACATAACTGATAAACTTTATGTGGAGCTATCTCCCACCAAAAAAGCAATGTAATATTCCTATGAATTTCATTAGCATAGAAAAGGAATTCCTACAGCTGGATTAGTATCCTTGCACATAACACAGCCTCTGTAGCCTCCTGTTAGTGCTTCTTGTAAGAACCCAATAATTGAAATCGAGACACTGGCGTTCCCGAGTCTCAGTGGTGGGACTGGGCATGCCCAGTAGCTCGGCTGGGTCTGGTTGCAAAAGAGCAAGCTTGCAGGGTTCAGCGCCGCCGCGGGGACTGGCAGCTTTGGAGACGGGGGTCTGACTCGCTTAGATGTAAGCGTGCGTGCGGGCACCGGGTGCTTTCGGGGACCCTGACGCGAGCCTCGGAGGAGGTGGCGCCCACCCCCTCCCTCCTCTCCCCTCCCCGCCCCTCCCCGCTGCCGCGGGCACCGGGAGGGACCGCAGCCGGAGCGCGGGGCGGGCCTATGGCGCGGCCAATCGGCGCGTCGCCTCCCCGCCTATATGTGGCGCTGGGGCCGGGCGGCCTCCTCTAGAGGAGTGGAGCCGGCAGCCGGGGCGGACTGAGCTGCTGCAGACGGGTTACTCGAGCCAGCACTGCCGTTCTCGCGCCCTGAGCTGCAGACAGCCAGGAGGCTTTATCTAGTTTGAACCAGGCTGCTGGAGCTCGCTCCCTCCCTCCATCCCTCCCTCTCTTTTCCACGAGGCTGGGTTTTTTTATTTGGCCGCAATTGCATGAAATCCCAATGGTGTAGACCAGTGGCGATGGATCTAGGAGTTTACCAACTGAGACATTTTTCAATTTCTTTCTTGTCGTCTTTGCTGGGAACTGAAAACGCTTCCGTGAGACTTGACAATAGGTAAATGTCAGCTGGGATAGTTGATTTAAATTGACTTGGAGTAAACTGCCTTGTGGTTAATGCAGGTACAAGATAGCCATGCGAATTCCTTTGTCCATGCCTAGGGTTACTGTGGCATAGATGTTGCTTTTTGAAATGGCCAGAAGATCCTTATTTTCGTAGATCTGGCTCGAGAACAGGCTTTCTTCCATTATGTAATTTAGTCCTTTGTGGCTCCCTAAAATAGGGAAATGCCTGGATAGAGTGTGGCTGGTATTTTCTGGAGTAGGATGCATTTTGTAGCGTTTAAAAATACTCAAAATATGATGCTAGTAAAGTCATTCGAATTCAGAGATCTGTCCTTATCCTGGATGTTAAAGATCAATTCCGTTTATCGATGATATCTTTTTTTTTTTATTCTCTCTTCCAGCTCTGGTGCAAGTGTGGTAGCTATCGACAACAAAATAGAGCAAGCTATGGTATGTACTGATTTAAAATTACTTGTAGTCAATGTGGGCACAGCACAAAACCCGAGATGCCTTGGAAAGGACTAGTGCATCCCTTTGCTAAATCCAGACGGTGCCGGTTGTTCTTCATACAGTCCGAATGCCAGCGCTAGCTCGCTCTCTCCTGCCAGCGTGGAGAGAAGCCACTTACCCCACGGCTGCCACAGGAGGAGAAGGGCCCCAGGTTCTGAGCGGGCCCTGCCCTGGACCCATTCACTCCTTGTCAGGATAAGAAGGCAGCGGCCCAGCTTCCTCGTTGCTCGTCTTAGGAGCACCTTCAGCCGTGTGCTTTACTAGGAACCCTGAGATTTTACTGGGGAGCTGGGAGGGAGGGTGTCCCCACCGAGGGGAGCTGGGGAAGGGGGGGGTGTCTCTAGACCATACCAGAACCTCTCCCGTGATGCTGCGGCCGCACAAAGGAGGGGAATGGGAGAAAAGTTTTGTCTTTCTCGGCCTGCGCCAGGATTTCTCCTATTTTTTATTTCCGCCTTGGTCGTTCTTTGTTATTGGAGCAGCGCCTGTGGCTCTTCTCACGGGATTCTCTGCCCACTGTTGCTAGGCAAACTCTGAACCTTTAATTCAGAGCTATAAATAACTCGGGCTCCCATTGGCTACGACGTCTGCCCAGGTTTCTGTGATGTCAGCTTAATCTTGGGGGGGGGGGGGAGTAGAGGTGGAGGGAAGAAAATGCGGCTACACGCTCTGTAGGAACTGGCTGAAGCCGGTGCCGAGGGAGGGAGGAGACGCTCCCTGCGCTGGGAGGGCCTGGGGGCGGGGAAGCGGCCACGGGGCCTCGGGCCTGGATGAGAACACAGGGCCTGGACGGAGACCCCGGTGCGGTTTGCCATCTTGAATTGGAAACTGGACTGTAGACATCATTGGTTAATGTCTGCAAGAGAAAGTCTAGAGACTGTTGAAAAGCTTGATCACGTACACATTAAACTGAAGTATTTCGTGGTTGTGATTATGCGCAGATTTCCACAAGTGTGCTTTTAATGGTCTTTGGAGGTAGAATGCATAATTGGTTAGGGCGAGCTAAGAAAGGCGTTCAGAAAAGCCAGAGTCCAGGACCTAGTAAGCTAAAGCCTTTCTTTACCTCTTGTTTTCAGGATCTGGTGAAAAGCCATTTGATGTATGCAGTCAGAGAGGAAGTGGAGGTTCTGAAGGAGCAGATCAAAGAACTCGTGGAGAAAAACTCCCAGCTGGAGCAGGAGAACAATCTGCTGAAGACACTGGCCAGTCCGGAGCAGCTCGCCCAGTTTCAGGCCCAGCTGCAGACTGGCTCTCCTCCGGCCACCACGCAGCCACAGGGGACCACACAGCCCCCTGCACAGCCAGCATCCCAGGGCTCAGGATCAACCGCATAGCCTGCTATGCCCCAACAGAACTGGCTGCTGCTGTCTGAACTGAACAGACCGAAGAGATGTGCTAGCGAGAAGCCGCCTCCACAGTCACCCATTTCATTGCTGTCTACGAAAGAGACGTGAGACTCACACGCTGTTCTCGCTTTCTCCCCAGTATTAAGCACTCATATGCTTTTGGCTTGAAGAAATGTACTAGTTGAGTGAATTAAAGGTTAATCAGAGAGTGAGCATGGATGCACCCTGTGCAACGTGGCAGATGTCTGAGGAATGGTTTAACTGACGCTGAGGAGCTGTGTGCCTTTCAACCCCTCCCCAGCTGCCCACCAAGAGCTCTGGGGCTTGCCTGCATGGGGCTCGGAGGTGGGCTGCTCCTGGAGTTTTTGCTCTCCTCTCCTTCCCTTCAAAGAACTTGAGAGGCCAGAAACAAGACTGCAGTGGTGGGGGGAGGGGGATGCAGTCCTTTTACAAAACCGACAACTGTCACCAAAGCTTATAAAACACGATAGTACTGTCCCTCTTTTCTGAAACATCAGAAGACACAAAATTTAGTGACATATCGGTGACAAGTAGCTGGGACCTAGGCTACCTTATTATGAAGGTTGTTTTGCTTGTTGTATATTTGTGTATGTAGTATAAGGAATTTGTACAATAGATGACCGTCACTACTGTTTAGGTTGTACAGATTGAAATTTAGATGTTCCATTGGCTGTCTGAAAAGGTGTGGATTGTCCTTTCTAGAGATGTCCTTAAAAACTGCTTTGTGACAAAAACCACACCTGAAGAAATTTTAAGAATTTGGCACAGTTGTCACTTTGTGTAATCCGGAATCTAGCTGCTGAGTCTTGCAAAGTAAACGCCCTGTCGACTGGTGTCAGCTGAGCTGGTGAACACCCGGAGAAACGGTCAGATGCTAAGGAAGTGGGTTTCCCTGTAGGGGTTTCTGCACCTCACCTGTATAGTCGTTCTGCGCATGTTCCCCACACAGTCCCCACTGTATTTACCTGTTCTTGTCACCTTTCAATAAAGCATATCAAATGTTGATACACACGTGTTTCCACATGACGCCGTTAATACAGTTGTTATTTCCACAGCTGTTCCTCATGAAGTCAACAGCAGTTTGCCTAGTAAAGTCTCAGGGCCTGGACACCAGTGGTTCTCGACTCCAGGAGAGAGAGATGTTGTTTGCTGGGGGGAGGGGGGAGGAGCTCATTCTCTTGTGACTAAGTCACCTCACCCCTCTGGACTGATAAGAGATAGGATCTTCACTTCCCCTATTTAAAATTCGAAGGGTTTATGTAGAGCTTATTCACTTGTCACTGAGCTGAGGGAATATCCCTGGTTCTTGTGTATTCCAAGATAGAATCAAAGGAAGTAACAGGTTCATTTCCATGCTGACAGCTCTGTTGCCATGGATCAGATCATGATTCCTACATTGGAATGAGTTTCTGGCCCCTAGGAGAGTTAGTTGTATTTTTAGATATTCTGGGGGTTGAAAGAATATATTGGGGTTTGAGCTAGGTACGACCTGGTACTTGAGTCTCTTCTGGAGGATGTGTAAACACAGTGGAGCCTAAGGAGTAAGCAGGGAGGTGTGAGTTAGCTGTGCAGTCTGTCCGGATCCAGTGGAAGTCGGGTCCATCCTGTGCATCCTGAGGCTTACCTACTAAGTCCTGGATCCTTCAGTTTTCTAACATAGAGCTGGGGGGAGGTGGGTTGGAGAACAGGACACACCTCAGGAAGAATGACTTGCCGGTGGGCATAGTTGATTTGGTGGAAGGGTAAAGCAGTGGACCTCACTGTAAGCCAATGGCAATTGTCATAAAGATGATTGGAAAGCAGCAAGCACTTGGCTCTGTCGTACTCAGGGCTACATAACTGACCTAACGGGGTGCTTAGACAGTACTTGCACTTCTCTTGGAAAACTAGGCAGTGGCCATTTCATCTCTTACCGTTTTTCATGTAATTGTGGAGAATTTGAAGTCTCCATCCTTGATGAATTAAATAGACATTATTTCTATTAATATAAAAGTCCCTCAGAATTGTGGTGTCTTGATATGTGAAATATTAATGAATTATTAAAATCAAAAGATGTGTTCTTATGGCCTTTCTTCACCTTTTTAAGTTCAGAACAGTTTTACTGACTGCTGTTTGAACATATCTAAGTTCATCTTACTGCTGGCTTTCAAACCTAACTAGGCCTCCTTAGCCTGTGGGTCACTATGGAGTTGTTGGAGTCACACTTTGCGTGCCACAGAGCAGGAAGGAGAGCTAGTGTGAGCACTGGGTGTTGGTGACATCACCAGCAGGACAGACTCGGCACAGGGCCGGGAGACGAAGGGACCCCGTAATTCTAGTGAATGCCTGCTTTCTGTTTCAAATTAACAATGTTCAGGATTCAGGAGCTGTGCTTTTGGGGTTTTTGCATACTTTAAAAATAATTGTCATGAATAGAGCATGCCAGAAATCAGATTTATATTTGCTCAAGAAACATATAAAAGTTTAATTATAACCATAATTAGGAATGAAAATGATTTTTAATTCAGGCACTACCATCCCTCGGGCTGTGTGAAATACAAGGCAAAGCCTTGTGCACTGAAGGCCTTTAGATGCCCATTTCCGATCCATTCGGACAGTAATAACGGCAGTAAGATCAGAAACAAGCAGAAAATGAAATTTCCTCCTAGATAAAATAGCCTGAAAATGAAGAACTATCTGCCTACCAACAGAAGTGGGGAGTAGATTGTGTGGTGAGGTTCCTGCTTTGGTGAGTGGGAGAAAGACAGTAGCCGATCACGCCTGGGTGCTGTGGAAACCAGCTCTTTGATCTTTGGAGGGGACAGGAACGCCACAGACCCACCTTCCCATGCATGAAATCACTGAGAGAGAACTTAACTACAACTTCAGCTCAAATTAGAAAAGTCTTTCTAGTGGAGACTGGCCACAGAGTCTTAGAATGCTGTGTTAGTTTCTTCAGAGAATATCAGTGAGTATCTTCAGCCTGCCAAAGATACTACTGAAACCATTGCTGTCTATATCTATATGTCAGTCTGTCTGTCTCTCTTTCTCTCTCTCTCTCTCTCCATATATATATATATATATATATATATATATATATATATATATATATATGTATGTATTTAACAATAGTTATTGTTAAATGGGAAGCCATGTCTCTTGATAAGATGATCCTACCCCCACCTTCTCTAGCCAGCCCAATGACCAAGACTGTGATCATGGATGTGTATGCTACAAGATCATGTCACGAATTCTCTGCATTTCCAGGGACAACATATTTCAGTGAAGATGGTCTCCATTGCTCCATGAGTGCTCAGTGTCTTTCCTTAAGAAGCAGGACTGCTGTGGTGACCTGCCGTGGCAAACAGCCACACTGGTTGGCTGGGATCTTCCCAGAAGATAGCACTCAGTTCTAAACACTGGAATGTCCAGTGCAAACTGGGACATGATGGTTGTCTTACTGTCTTCTCCTTCCTCATACTTGCCTTGAAGTTAGGTGTCACTTTGAGACTTGGGTTTCCTTACAGGTAAGTGAGCACTGAAGAGATTGAATTCTGCCAAGTTGGCCCAGAAGAAAATAATTTTCAATGATCCTCTAGGTTTCCACCCATCTGCAAATGAAAGACCTAGTAACCATGGAGGTGAGGTCACAGAATGACCAAAGCAGAATGCCCTCCCCTTCTGTCCCGAATCAGAAATTGCAGCCCTAGAAGCAAGCATAGGTCACCATGGAACATTTTAGAATCTTCTGCCTGGGTAGCTAATGTGGAAATGAGTTTCCTGAAGTCTGTGGATTTTGACAAACACCCTAACTATGTTGTACTGCTGGTGGGTGGGCCATTGTGGGGTGGTGAAACTGTTGGGAGCCTGAGATCTGTACTACAAAGTGGCAAACCATTCGGTAGATGGAGGAGGCAGCCAAGTGAGTGCTTTGAAAGCATGCACCACTGAGAGGCCCCTCGATGGTAAAAAGTAGACCACTATGTTACACCTCCTGTTCCAGGGTGCTGTTGTTTTATAAGTAGAAAGAAGTGGGAATAAATGGTGCAAAAACTTGGGGCTGTCCAGTGTTGGACCACCCATTGCTTCTGGATACCACCCTGAAGGCAGTAAATACTAAAGTATTACCCAGTGTCGTGAATGCACAGTTCATCAGTGTTCTCTTCAGCAGAGGTCAGTTTCAGACAGTGTGTGACTCCTGGAGTGTGCCTTTGTTTTAGATCAGTGATTCTCACCCTATGGATAGCGATCCTCACGAGGGTGAGGAGCACACATCCTGCAGATCCGACATTTACAGTATGATTCATAACGGTAGCAAGATTATGGCTCTGAAGTAGCAACTAGATAATTTTATGGCTCGGGATCTTCACAACATGAGGAACTGTGTTCAAGTGTCACATAGGAAGGTTGAGAACCGCCGTCTCAGATGATGTTCTTTGGACGGTCCCTGCTCTCTTGATGGTAGAGAAGAAAAAGGAATAAATGAAAACTGGGGCCGGGCAGTGGTGGCGCACGCCTTTAATCCCAGCACTTGGGAGGCAGAGGCAGGTGGATTTCTGAGTTCGAGGCCAGCCTAGTCTACAGAGTGAGTTCCAGGACAGCCCGGGCTACACAGAGAAACCCTGTCTCGAAAAACGGAAAAAAACAAAAAAAAAACAAAACAAAAAAAACAAAAAACAAAAACTGGGCATGTGCAGAAGTTGCTGACCCAGTGAGCTAACTTAAAAGGGAAAACGGAGATGCCAACTAGTTTTTTGAGGGAGTTTTATTATCAAGGAAGACAAGCCAGTCAAGACTTAAATGTTGTTACAGCAAAACCTTTCAACAACCCTGTGGACTCTGGAGGAGCTGGGAGTGTGTAAGGTCTGTCTGAATAGCTGTGTAGGTCCCAAGAAGCATGGTCTCCTAAATACCATGCAACATCTGGAGTACCTGGGCAGGAAAATCTCTAGTGGTAGAGACCTGGAACTTCAGAGAACAAAGTGCCAGAGATCTCTTTCCATAGAGAAGAACCCGTCTACCACACATGTTTAACCTGGGACCAAAGGACTGCTATGAATTCTCCCAACCCAATATTATAAACCTACTTAAAACTATAAAACTCTGTGTATGTGTATGCTATTTTTAAACTCAATTGTACCATTCTCTGACATGAACTTTGTAGATGACAATGTCATGTTACAATGTCAACAGGTTGAGATCACCTGTATCAGACAGAGCATATCCCTGCTGCCAGGACAGAGAGCTCTTCTCAAAGCCTGCTCTGAAGGGCTTCATGGTTACTGGTGACTGGGGCTCACCAGTTGGTTCCCTCGATTCCAATTAGAGTGTCTTTACTAATCACTGTCTTCAAAGAACAAGAAACACATTTCTATTTTTAATTTAGACCTATATTGTTTTAGTCTGTTAACTAGTACATAAACATGGAATATGTGAGGTGATTCCAAAGAAATATTGTGACTTGATAAATTGTATGGTGTCAATTAAGCATGTCAGAGCCAGATAGCAGAAAAAGATGAGTGCATTTGAAAAGATAATTTGCATGTTTGTGTATGTGTGCATGTATGTGTGTGTATATGTGTACATATGGAAGCCAGAAGTTCAACACTGCTTTACCTTCATTCCCTACCTAATTTTTAACCAAAGACCTCTCACTGAACTTAGAGCTTACTCATTGGCTGGACTGGCTGGCTGGCAAGCTCCTAGGATTGGTCTATCTTCTCTTCTGAAGCGCTAGGGTTACAAAAGTGCTTAGGATCTGAACTCACATCCTCATGCTTGCAAATAGATACTTTACCTCTAAACTCATACCATAAAAAAGTGTGCGTGTGTGTGGTGTGTGTGTGCATGTGTGTGTGTGTGTGCTTGCATGTGTGTGTGTGGTATGCATGAGTGTGTGTGTGCATGCATGTGTGTGTGTGGTGTGTGCATGAGTGTGTGTGTTCATGCGTGTGTGTGTGTGTGTGTGTAAGAGGTACCAACGGACAGACAGACAGACCAGGTTTCATGTACTCAGACTGTCCTCAGACT